CATCGATCTATTTATTTATTAATTTTTATTGTTTTTGTTTTTTTTTTTTTTATTTATGTTTTTTTTTTTATATATATATTTATTTATTGTTTTTTTCTTTCTTTCTTTTCTTTTTTTTCTTTTTTTAATTTTTATACATTACGTCGCTAAACATTCTTTATCGCTATATCTTTCTTTCATTATCGCGTGTTGATTCGTTTTCGCTCCTAATTTGGCTGCACACTCACGAAACTTTTTTTTATTCTTCTTGACTAACGAATAATTCTTCCCCGACGAGTTTTTGTTTTCATAACATTTTGTATTTGAACACATTTTAAGTCTAGATTTTACATCGTATAATTTCGAGACTTTGGTATTCTCGTGACTTGGATTTTTCCAAAGTAAAAAATAGCTAGTAAATTACGTTAAGTACGGCTAGATTTGCTTAAAGAGCTCCAAAGACAGTCCCAGAATCTCACTTTATTACTTTAAATCTTTAATCTTTTTATTATATCTTTTGTTACGTTAATAATTGTTTGCTCGTTTGTTTGTTTGTTTGTTTGTTTGTTCGTTTGTTAGTTTGTTTGCTTGCATGCTTGTTTATTCTTTTTATCTTTTTTTTTTTTTTTAAGTCAAGTCTCTGACAGTTTTTGCATCGTTCTTTTTTAGGGGAAAATGGAAGGAACCTTTCAATGAAATATAATCGAATGAGAAAAAAAATGTAATCTACAATAATGTTAAACCCCCCCCCCCCCCCCCCAAACCCTATAAGAAAACTATAATTATTAGAGAACAGGTCATATATATTTAAATTTAGCAGCGACTGTAAGAAACGTAGTGCCTCACCGATTACATCGTTCGAGAATAAAGAAGAAAGAAAAACAACGTACTCTAATTATTATTTGTTTAAACTTTCTCCCTTGCTTAAAATTCTTTGTATCAAGAATATCATTTGTATAATACAAAAGAGAAGTCTGTTATCGTATGGATATTTCGCTTGATCGCAAAATACATTCTATCAGTCAGCATCGTGCGTTCTTTGTCAATTATCACTCTTTTTTGCCATTCATAATTGAAGAAAGATATTTCAAGTTAGAAAAACAAGTGTAAAAAAATCTCGTAAAGCGCGACAACCAGGGCTATTTTCGCTTTTTTGCCACACTCAAGGTCACTTCAAATGTTTTGTTTTTATTTTCCCCTTGCACAAATACATAGCTTGATAATGACCTAAACTCGTAAATGCAATTACTCTCATTTTCAGCGAAATATTTTCATTTACTGAATATATCGGGCGAAGGCCTCGTGTGTTTGTTTTGTGTACGTTTTTTTTTTTTTTTTTTTTTTTTAATCTGAAGATTTCTAAAAAATAAAAAAATTAATTCTTTATCGCTCCCACTTTTGCTTTTTCTTTTCATTTTTTTTTTTTTAGCAAAGTCATGCGCAATTTCTTTTTTACAAAATTTTGAAAAATAGTTTGACTTTTCCGAAAAGAAGCACCATCATCCATGCGCCTTCTATAGCGTTTATCGCGCGTGTTTTGTCCTTCAATTTTTGTCTTTATTTTATACTTTCCCTCAAACACTGCCCATTCGTTCAATTCACTCGTTCAGCCGCATCTTTCAGTATTCGTCCCCATTCGTCCTCAGCCTCGCGCTCACACTCTTACCATTCGCACAATCATTAATGTCATTTGTAAGCCCTAAACCTTATAATTTTTATACTTGGCATACCCCAAATATGGCAGGAAGGCAATACTTAATAACGCGTACTTTAATCTTTTTTTTCATTTCCCTCGCAGAAATACCGTTCGCCTCCATCATTACTGTTTTCTTGTTGTTGCTGTTGTTGTTGTTGTTGCTGTTGTTGCTGTTGTTATTGTTATCCTATGTTATCCTTTATCTTCTTATTATTCTTATTCTTATTCTTATTCTTATTCTTCTTATTCTTCTTATTCTTATTCTTATTCTTATTCTTATTCTTATTCTTATTCTTATTCTTATTCTTATTCTTATTCTTATTCTTATTCTTATTCTTATTCTTATTCTTATTCTTATTCTTATTCTTATTCTTATTCTTATTCTTATTCTTATTCTTATTCTTATTCTTATTCTTATTCTTATTCTTATTCTTATTCTTATTCTTATTCTTATTCTTATTCTTATTCTTATTCTTATTCTTATTCTTATTCTTATTCTTATTCTTATTCTTATTCTTATTCTTATTCTTATTCTTATTCTTATTCTTATTCTTATTCTTATTCTTATTCTTATTCTTATTCTTATTCTTATTCTTATTCTTATTCTTATTCTTATTCTTATTCTTATTCTTATTCTTATTCTTATTCTTATTCTTATTCTTATTCTTATTCTTATTCTTATTCTTATTCTTATTCTTATTCTTATTCTTATTCTTATTCTTATTCTTATTCTTATTCTTATTCTTATTCTTATTCTTATTCTTATTCTTATTCTTATTCTTATTCTTATTCTTATTCTTATTCTTATTCTTATTCTTATTCTTATTCTTATTCTTATTCTTATTCTTATTCTTATTCTTATTCTTATTCTTATTCTTATTCTTATTCTTATTCTTATTCTTATTCTTATTCTTATTCTTATTCTTATTCTTATTCTTATTCTTATTCTTATTCTTATTCTTATTCTTATTCTTATTCTTATTCTTCTTATTCTTCTTCTTCTTATTCTTCTTCTTATTCTTCTTGTTACTGTTACTGTTTGCTGTTGCTGTTACTGTTGTTTTTTCTTCTTCTTGTTTTTTGTCTTTTCGTTTTTTTTTTTTTTTTTTTTCTGCTTGGATTCGGCTAATATAATAAGAAATTTTGTACATTTGGTAGCACTAGGATGTTAATTTGAATTCATCCGTACCACCCTGCCCTCGCACGTCATTATGTAGTGGGACGCTGCACCTCTTATATTTCTTTTCTACAAAATCACAAAAATAAGCTTTCACGAAGCGTCGAGTCACCATTCTTCCTTTTTGGTCTTCGGCGCTATGCAAACAACGAAAGAGCAAACTTTTTCTCGAGTATTTTAACGACATCGAGGAATCGTACGAGCTTACAGCCGCACTTGTTCATATAGCCAACGAAAATAACTTAAGTCCCGAAAGAAGAGCCGCGAGTATGGCGCTAATAAACGATAAGCGATCGGGTGATGGGATGGAAAGTGACGGATGAGCGGGACTGTGGAGGGGTGGAGGGACGGAGGGAATTCGACCAGCCGTATCTTCGCGGGTACGGCGTTTGAGGATTAAGTCGAGGTGACATTGAGGAGGTAGGGTGAAGAGGTGCCGGCTAGTGTTTATTACTATGGTTTACCAACCATAATGCGACAATGGCGGGAGGGGGTAGGGGAGACGGAAAGGAAAGAAAGAGACGTAATAAGAATGGCTCTCGATGAATTCGAAGTATAGGACAGCGACTCGACACTGCATTACTAGACTCGTAAGTGAAAAAAGCTGTTGCTCGATCTGGCTTTGGATTTTCGGTCCGTGTGTTTCGCTCTCACGCCACCACGCTTCAACCGACTGCGCATCTACAGTCCTCCTAGGCTCCAACGGAGTCGCGTAGTTTTTGTCCTTACTAACTATTATACATTTGGCGTTATAACGTATGGTACTGTCTATGCGTTTAGGTATAAATTATGTAGTACTTGCACTTGTTTCGCACCCCGCTGGGTTACAAAAAGGTCCGGCGGAGGCGAATTCTACATACATATGCGACATCTACTCGTACATTGTCCCAACGAAAGGACTGTGACTACCTAAAATTGGAAATATATCGCAGAGGCGACTCGCGACCGAGTCAGCGCGTGTTCGCGCCCTCCCCCTCCCCCCCCCCCCACCCCCCCCCCCCCCCCCCCCCCCCCCCCCCCCCCCCCCCCCCCCCCCGAGGGGGGGGGCGGGGCACAGGGGTCGCGACATCACCCTCGAAAAAGGAAGGAGCGCACTTTATTCGCTCATAGTATTTTTATTTTCTTTTTGATTGTAAGCCTCCGTTTAATCTTCAGCTCGTCGACCTCGGCAGGCCGCCTACCGTTCCTCTACGCCCCCCTTACCCATTCCCCCTTACCCCTCCCCCTCTCCATAGAACTCTCCATCCATTCACCAAGCCTTCCGTAACGTCCGGAACGCTCGGTCTCACCACTCTTATCCGGCATCTTGGCCTACCCCGACGATCCGGCCATCTATTTATTAACGTATTTATTAACGCATACGAGCGTACGCGGCTGGGACAAGCGGCTGCCGTCCCTTGGTCCCCGCCAGCTGGACCCGCGCAAAGACCTTCGGCTTAGCCCTAGCCAGTCCACAGCCTCACCTCGGGCTTGAGTGCATCCTGCAACCGTGTGCCTGTCTATCTCTTTGCCCGTTTGTCTGTCTGCCTACCTGTCTGCCTACCTGCCTACCTGCCTACCTGCCTACCTGCCTACCTGTCTACCTGCCTGCCTGTCTGCCTACATGACTACGCGTCTGCTTGCTTGCACGCGTGCGTAGGTGTCTGTCTGGCTGGGTGTGCGCGTTCGCGTGTGCGCGCTCCTCGTCACGGCGAGGCTTATATGTTGAAGAGGCGCTCGGGCATCGCTTGGCTCAGCCTCCTGTAGTCGAGTCCGTCGGGGGGTAACATAATCGCGGCGTCGGCCGTTGGGCCTGGAAGAGGGTCCGCGACTCGGCCCCCGTACCGGCCCTACTATTCGCACCGCGAGTCCGTCAGGGGCTCGAGTTTGACGGCGATCTTCTCCTTCTCCTTGAGAGCCGCGTGCGAGCTCTTGACGATCTGGGGCCGGGGGCTGACGAAGCTGCGCGCGGGCTTATAAGTCATGCCGCTGACGCCGATTCCGACCTCGACGCTCGAGGACAAGTGCGAGGGGTCAATGAGGGCGCCGAGGGGACTCGCCAGGGGCGACTCCATCGGGCTCTCGGGGGGGCCACCGGAGCCGGGGCTCGCGAGCCCGAGGTTCAGCGGCGAGTTGCCGTGGTTGCTGCTGCCGCCCCCGCCGCTCCCGCCCCCGAGCCCGGGCGTTCCCGCACCCGGACCCATCATCCCGGCCCCGTTATTATTGTGGTGGTGATGGTGATGGTGGTGATGCTGTTGTTGTTGCTGCTGCTGCTGCTGCTGCTGGTGCTGTTGATGCTGCTGGTGATGTTGCTGCTGCTGTTGCTGCTGTTGGCTCGCCTGTTGCATTGCTGCCTGGAGGTTCGAGGAGAGGTTGGACGAGAGGCTCGTCGAGAGGTTCGTCGCCAACATGTCGTGTTGCTGGGAGTGAGCCGCGGCGACCATACTGCACATTTGGTGTCGCAGACCTGCGGGCAAAAGCGGGGTAATTAAGAGTGTTTTTCCGCTCGTGGGCCGCCGAGTCCGTCGCTCGGCACCAATTTGTCATTTAATAAAACGAATCATCGACTTTCCAACTGCCGAAGAGACGTCGAAAGGATCGCCTCATTCCAGTTAACGGAAGCGCGCGTTGCAAGGACCAATTCATTTAATTTCATTTAATAGCGCGAGCGCTTACGCGATGGTTCAACGGGTATTTATATACTCAAAATAGACGTCAACTTGTAATATTAAAACAGATAATACCGGCCCGGATGCCCATACCCACCGCACCTCGTGGCTAGAGCGAGTGAATAAGCGCAGCCACGTTCTAAGGCGGGAAAAGGAGATTTCGGTAATTTACCTTGAGCGACGGCAGCGACTGCGGCCGCAGCTGCGCTGGGGCTGACTGCTCCCTCGGGTCCGTTGCAGGCGCCGTAATTCGCCAGGGCGGGGTACATGGTGGTGGGCTCCTCCTTGACGATGTGGGGCGAATGTCCGTCACGGAAGACCACCGCCCGGATCACGCCGCGAATGTGCTCGTCAGGCCAGACGCCGAGCAGGATCCTTTGGGGCCTCCCCCGGCCCTTCGGCCGTAAATCTGCAAAACAGACTCGGACTTAGTAGGGAGCGAGGAGTCGACGGGCTCCGCAGGAAGTGATGCGACGGTCGTTCGAATCGCCCGGCATCCGATGGCGACCTTGTCACTCGCGAGTGCTCGAGAACGTCGGTGGGTTAAGATAGGATGGTGAGTGCGGAGCCAGATGAGGTCGAATTAGTTTGCGGATGCGGAGGTGGGTAATGTAAAGGAGTCAAAGGGAAAGAGAAAAGTAAAGAAAGCTGACGCATAGCCAACCAATGCTGGTAAAATATTATATACGCCGATAGCCAAATTAAAGTTTATAGTACTTAAAAACGTATCGTTAATCAAAATTCTAAATATACATTGGCAATAAAACTTGCTAGACTGTCACGTCAATTATACAGTTTATAACGAGCAGTTATTAAGTAGTTCTAAATTAAGAAAAACTATAATAATTTCATTTTATAGTGTTCCGGATTGTATACTTTTGAATAATTTTATACATCTGCGAGGCTCGTAATGTTTATTTTTCTAAATTATTAGCGTAAAAATGTTTATTCAACATTGCATCTTCGAACATAGCACAAGTATCGGATATTTTTAATTTCGAGAATTTACACATTCCTCGTGTGCTAGTGTTATATAAAAATACAACAGCAGCCCCGTCGCTAAAGTAGGACGGACGACCCTCGATGTTTTGGGTGGTGGTTAGTAGTCGAGGAGAAAAGCGAGGGGTGGGCCAGTATCGCCGATTTTGGGTCCGAATCGCCGCTCGGGACAGGCTGATGGACGACGTGCGCGACTGATCGAGCGAGCCCCCCTGTTTACCGAGGTGGCAGCGATAGGGAAGGATTTGGCGGACTTGAAAGAGCGTTGCAGCATGGCACCATAGGCGTCAAAATCGCGAGGAAGGAACGAAGAAAAGGAGGGAGAAAGACAGTCGGAAAGTAGGGGGCGGGCGCTGAGGCGATAGCTAGAAAAGTTAAAGATAGTCGCGGCTGTTAGCGCTGGACGTTAACGGCGCGTTTCGTCGGCAAACAATAAAATAACGAATGAGAGCGAGTAAGTAAACACAATGGCCGTCAAATCGAGTAACCACGGAAGAGAGCGAGCCTTAATACATCTGCGCGCCAAGCGACTCGCTCTTTGGCCCCGGACGAGGCTCGATGTGTAATTGTACCTTTTACGAGCGATGCTAAAATCACTGAGAGAGAGAGATAGATAGAGAGAGAGAGAGAGAGAGAGTGAAGAGGGAGGCGTATACGTGTCCTGTTGCACCGTAGTTATTTCTTTTTTCGCGCACATATACGTCGAAAGAAAGAGAGAGAGAGAGAGAGAGAGAGAGAGAGAGAGAGAGAGAGCAGCGAATCGGGGAGAAGAAGAGAGGGGCAGAGAGCTTTCGCTATTTATAAACGTCGCGCATTGAAATTTTCTTCTTATCCCCTTAATGACTGCATTTCGGTTTTAAATTACACTTACCGGCTCCACCGTCGGCGCTCGGTCCGAGCATATTATGGACTCGGTTCGCGTAAAGTACGAACGTCGGGTATGGAATATCGTATTTTCTGAAAAAAATAAATACAACAATGTTAAATTGTTCTTCTTCTTCTTTTTTTTTTATCTCCTATGACGAGGTCTCACCCCATCAAGAGCTGCGTAACCCAAATATATCGATTGTGCGATTTACGCACGATTGTCATGACAGGATTGACTACGACTGTGTATTAGTGTCATCGTCACGGTAAGTTAAGCGGTCGACTGGGAGACTAATGCTTTTCTTATATATTCGTTCCTTTGCTAATTATCTTAGGCACCGAGAGAAGCCAGTTTTTCACGTTTTTCACATTCTTCACGTTTTTCACAATTGGATATCTTGGATTCTCCTGACAATTTCATCACCATAAGCTCCGATCTATTATTAGGACAATCGTTGTCTACGATAGCATTTGTCATTGCTTTTTTACCGGATGGCCGGGGCTTTTTGGGCTTTCAGAGCTTTCTAATCGTTAAATTTAAGACTTACTTTCAATGTTCCATTTCTAAATTTTCATTTTTTTCATTTCTTTTCTTTTTCTCTATTTTTTCTTTTTTTTTTTTTTTTTTTTATCTCTTCAAAACGCAATTTTTCAATTACCCAAAATTAGAGAAAAAAAGTGAAAAATAACATAAATTAAATAAAACTTTTTTATTGTATTTATTTATGTGCGATGAAAAGCTAAGGAAAGGAAAAAAAGGAAAAAAAGAAAGAAATTATTAGTTTCTTAATACCACGAATGAAACCATTTAATACAATTTTTTTTTTTTTAATTGTCTTTAATATATCTAATGAAGATAAAGTAGAATTAAAGGAATAAAAGGAGTAACCGCGCCAATTACATTATACGTTTTGGCATGTGAAATATAAATATTATTTATCGTTATTGAACAAAATAAACGTGCTTCTCTATTTTATTTGTCGTTTATTCTCATAATCTTGTACATTTCTTACGACACACTATCTTAATTCAAATGAAAGTTCACTACTGCGATAACGAAGCATTTCAAACAGTTTACTTTTTCTTTTAAAGAATTTTAAAGGCATATTTGTGCAAAAAGAAAAAAGAAGAAAAGAAAAGTAGAATTAAACTAGTAATTAAATAATTTAATCAAAATATTATTACACGTGTAATTTAATTAGAGCTGAAATGTAAAATATATTTTGTAGAAGAACTGGTCTACAAAATTGTAATTAACAATTTTATAAGTGTGTATAGTGTGTGTACTACAATTGCTAGAGTGGAGGGAATAATGGAGTGCGTACGGCTTACTTTAAAATAAAAAAAGAACGAGAATGAAAGAAGAACGAAGGAAAAGAAAAACGGTCTACTGAACTTAGCTAATGTAATGAACATAAAAGATTATTTAGAAAATGTTAAAGACTGCAAGACATACAATTTAAATCTTCTTGTGCAATTTTTAAGAGAAAGCTCATTCAATTAATATGTATCTCGAGTGACATAATATTAAAATTCCAGTATTTAGATATTTATTTAATTTGACGAAATTTAATTCACGCTCAGATTTGCTATAAATATATTTGGCCAATTTGTGTGCGATCGTACAGATATTTTAACGGTCTCCCCCCCCCCCCCCACAACGAATTGCACAATAAGCAATTCCAATTCTAAAATCCTTTCCTAGCCTTACTCGCCACCCCCCCCCCCCCCAATCTTCTTATCTACTCAATGGGCAATTGAATTATATACAGTATCATTATTAAAATTATACAACACATATTTCAATTTTTTTTTTTTTTTTTTTAAACGTTTGCACAGCCTTTACAGCCCCGCCGTATAAAGTAGCTCTTAATCCACGGTATTCTCGGGGATAATAAATGTCGCGTGCATTAAAGATTCAGGGAAACAAATGGCGGGACGAGCGCAACTTTGTTTACGGAAGGGAGAGAAGCGCGAGAAATTTGGGTTATCGCTCGTGGAGAAAGAAGAAAGATGCATGGTTACCTGGCAGCCTGGCTCAACGAGAGACCTTCCTTTAGTACACTAAAGATCGCTTCCGCCATCGTTTCCGGCCGCCAAGACTTCAAAGGTCCGCGTTCTCGAAAGCGCAGATTGTGCACGAGACTCTGATTGGTGTTCCAGCACTTTTGCCACATCGACTGCAATTGATACTGATAACTGTCTGCTGTAACAACCCCCCAAAATTCAGGGATAAAATGTTACTACATGATATTAAGGTGGCATTTGGATAATGCAATGTTAATAAATATAATGCTCAGAGTAAATATACATATACATGTGTTGAAGTAAGAAAGAAAACATGTCAATTTATTTAAATTTGGACTCTTTAACAGCAACGACAAAAATATAAAAGAGGAAACAAAAAGGAGAAAAAAAAGAGAGAAAAAAGTCGACAGTAAATTGATAAGATTTGCGTCGCGGATTAAAATTCGTTGTGTGCCAGAGGAGTAGTAGTGGCTGGTTTGAAAAATTAAGTCTTTAAAAGTTGGCAACTGTGTTTCTTTTTTTGTTTTTTGTTTTTGTTTTTGTTTTTTTTTTTTGTTTTCATGTATATAAGAGTTATTATCGCTCTTGTTTTTATAAATAATATTAGTACAAGAAGATCAGCAGTTGGCGTATCATCATCGCCAACGTCTTGCATAACCTATTTCATTGGATTTTTCTTTATCTTTGCTTTAACTTTTCATTTATTCATATATTTTTTATTTTTTGTTTGTTTTTGTTTTTGTTTTAGTTTTTTTTTTTTGTTTTTTTTTGCGTTCGTTCGTTCGTTCGTTAAAATCGTATGGAGAAAACTGCCACAGGTCTAGGTAATGCGATGGAAATGTAATATTTCTGAATAACATTACTTTAGTTATAACAGGTACCTTGGACTGGCTTGGACGTCTGAAAAAGAAGAAAATAAGACACAAAATTGAAATGAGGGGGAAAAAAATATATATAATTGGTCTGTGCGGCGGTTTGTTGGGGGGGGGGGGGGGGGGGTAAAATTATTTAAATCTCACTGCATCGTATCCATGACATTTCTCTCGATTATTCTCCAAGTTATTAATGTCATTGCGTTTATTATTATTGTGATTATGTACGAGCGGCTATCTAAAGCCACTAAAAAAACGGCGGATGGGGAGGGGGGGGGGGGGGTTTGGGGGGGGGGGGGGGGGGGGAGGAAAAAAAGAACGAAGGCTTTTAAAGTTGTGGGTAACGGAATTGATTTTATATGTATTCACATAATTGTTTACAAAGTCATCGTCGCCAACTGTTTTATTACAATGATAATAAAACACGAAAATAATAGTAATAATAATAATAATAATATTAATGATAATGATAATAATAATAATAATAATAATAATAATAATAATAATAATAATAATAATAATAATAATAATAATAGAAGAGTTATTTGTTTCCAATGCTGCTGAGAGAAATTATTTTCATAATTTCCAAAACTTGAATGCTCATATTACTTCTACATCTTTGCTTATAACGAGCAATGAACGCCATAATAGTCGTCGTAGTCGTCATCGTAATAATCGTAATATCGAAATCGCATTAATAATATTTTATAATAATTAAAAGATTAATTATGAATAGAAGAGGAAAAAAAATTTAAGTAAGTAAGTAAGTAAGTAAGTAAATAAGTATGTAAGTAAGTAAGTATGTATGTATGTAAGTAAGTAAGTAAGTAAGTAAGTAAGTAAGTAAGTAAGTAAGTAAGTAATAATAATAATAATAATAATAATAATAATATTAATCATAGTAATAATAGCAGCAGTGGTAGTAATAGTAGCGGCACTAATTAACGATAATAGCCCTCTCTGCTTCGCATACATTGGATTGTTCATGCTCTTAAAAATTAGTCGTTATAAGCGTTTCGACTTAACGATTTATTACATCGGAGGACGGAAGAGACAACATCGGCGCGACGAAGAACTCGCTTGATCCTCGGAGCCGATTAGGCTACAGAAGCGAAAATTCTCTTTTCATTTATTTGCGCGCGCGTGTGCGTACATGTCGCGTACATGCTTATGTCCGTCGGCGCAAGCTCGAGACGAGCGGTTGCCGGTATGCAGCGCCGATGGCCCCGATCCACAGCGATTATTTGACGGTTAAGTTATTAAGTGTAATTAGACCTCCTCCAATTTCATGATTAATACAATTAATTGGAAAAGACGTGTATGGCCCGGAGACGTGAGAGCCTCTGCTTCGCTACTGCGGAGAAAAAGTGCCGGGGTTAAGGCAGCACTAATTCCTTATGAAATCTTAATGCGCGACGCAAATTTAAAGGCATCGAGAGCTCGGTGCTCTATTAATTGCAAAAAGGCTTTGCGAAGTCTGTAAATTTTTTTGGACTTAAAACGCACAACCGGGGAAGGAAGCGAGTGATTCGTAACGCGATTACAAGTCAATGAATTTTCCCTCGTACTCGCCTTTCTTACCCTCAGACTTGCTTCAATCTCAATTCCCAGCGGTCACTTTACTCCTTCCCACGCCATCTACTCGCACTCTCATTTTAACTGATAATCGATTAAAGGATAAAGTTTATTTATGAGTATGTCATGGCATGGAGCCTTTCTGTCTTCAGTCTTTACGTAGAGTGATAATCCACTTCGTCGATTGCTTAATCCTACGTGTCACTCTTACACACTTTCGCATCTATTTAATTCCAAAAAATTTAAAGACCTACTAATTAGTAGTACGACTTTTTTTTATTTTTTATTTTGCTTTCTCCGCGTGTCCAATAAACAGCTTAGTCGCTTACATTTAATAAATCGTGTATATAAAAGGCACTTCGTTCATTATGACTTATGGTCTAATGGCGATTTCGACAAAATGCTTTGTCACTTAAATGAGGAGCCAAAGTTATTTACGTTCATTCGCTGGCTCCAAGTAATTTGACTCGCGTATTAAATGTCAACTCTCTGTCTTTCGTCGAATACGCTCTTTACCATAACGATAAAACGTCAAATTTACAAAGTACATGACAGACTCTTTATTGAAAATTTCATGTATAGAAATCATTGCGGAATTTTTGTAATTCTCATCGTCGGATGCATATGTTTCGAGTTTGCATTTAGCGTAATACTTGATTCGTCTCTTGCTTCACTCGATTCGCTCTCTCTCTCTCTCTCTCTCTCTCTGACACTCTCGCTCTCTACTTGCAAGTAAAATATACGTCACATAAAAATATATACTTTTTTTACACACACACACACACACACTCTCTCTCTCTCTCTCTCTCTCTCTCTCTCTCTCTCTCTCTCTCTCTCTATCGTTCTCTCTCGCTCTCTCGCTCTCTCGCTCTCTCGCTCTCTACTCGCAAGTAAAATATACGTCACATAAAAATATATACTTTTTTTATTTCCGAAAGTTGACTAAAAATTTCGACAATCACTTTAATCGCTTGACAGACTCTTTAACGCTACGTCTTCACATACATAGCTTTCTTTACAAAATATATAAAAACATTTCCCTATAAAAATATAATATTGTCGTAAACGTGTGAGTGAGATAATTATAAGAATTTTCTATTCTTACGCTAATTGGTCGATATATAATATCTAAAGCTACAGTCTAAGCTAATATTTATTATGAATTTGTACAGTCGATAAGGAATGTCATTTTCACTACAAACTTAATGCATGCACATGGAATTTTTAATTTTTATTTAATAGTCGAGGCATCGAAAGTAGGAGAATACATAGGAAATACGAACAATGGAATTATCGATGGCTTATTTAACAATAAGTCCTAGGCACGGATATCACCGGAAGTATTATGTCGCGACCGATGTTCCGCCTTCCTTCTCATTTTCTTCTTCTTGCTTTCTTTTGTAGAAAAAATGAAGGGACACGGGCGCGAATCACAATCCGATCGACGATCGATTACCGATCGCGAACACGTAGAACGGAGAGGAACATTTTGCGATGCGATCGGACAAAACGAAAAAAAAAAAAAAATGTGGGGAATGTCTGAGTGAGCCGAGTACCTGCCACTAAAGCAACAATTTTAAGTACAATTTTCAACATTACCAACCAATACATGCTGAATTGGAAAACAACTTGTTGATCATATAAATAGTGCAACGATAATCGTTACGAGCTCAATGGCAACACGTAGAAGAACGCTCTGATAAGCAACGATTATAAATAGTTTCGAGATTTGACAGGATGTGGGCGAAAGCCCGCGAAAGCCAATGAACGGCAACGAGTAAATCGACAATAACTTTAAGACGAGGCTACGGCAAATTATCGAAATCGAGAATGTTTTCTGGCACTGGCTGATCGCGAAAACGAACAACGGCTAAACTGCCGAGACGCGACGTACGAAGGGCGGAGCCGAGTCAGGCCTCAAGGAAAACCTCAAGGAGAACCTCAAGGAAGTGAGATTGCCAAGATGTAGGAGACGAAGTGGTAGGTAGTGAGTGGAGCGATACGAGGGGGGAGTTGAGAACCGAAAGGTCAGAGGTAAAGACGCTTGGTAGTCTTTGCTCGCGAAGCCTGTCTCTCTCTCTCTCTCCCTCTCTCTCTCTCTCTGTCCCGCGTCAGTTGACAAGATTAAATTATCGGTTAAATAATCCCGGGTATAGACTGTTCGAGGCAAGACTCGTATCCCCGCGAAAACGGACCGCCGAACTCGGTCGGATGAGGAGCTACGTCGATGACGATAAGTTGTTCGCCCTTACCAAATGGCTCAGAAATTTGGAATAAAAGATTTGGCATCTTATGGAATAACGAGATAATGGATAAAGATAAGCGCGCGGGTAGAGCTGTATCCTGAGATGGTGGCGGCGGCGGCGGCGGCTTATCCGATCTATGGGCAAGAGAAGCCGTAACTACAAGGCCGCTTCGGCTCCCAAGATAAATAATCGGTTAATTGCCGCGACGATGAGTCGGCCGCCTAGGATGAGATGCCTGAGCGGAAAATGCCCGTTCTAATGGCGATGATCGCTGCGATTGTCCTTGGCGAGCCGAGTACGCGATGGAGCTTAATGAGGGATGATGGCTCGAGTCTCGGGTCGTGCTCCTCGCGCCGCCCCATACGATTCTCGCCCGATCGGTTGGAAATCACGTGCTCCACGACGAGCGAGCTTATCTCCACCTACTCGCCCCCCTCCCTTGGACTAATTCTTGCCTCAGAGGTTTTTCGCTGAAGCCCGCAGCTCGCGACAGCCCATTCGTAATAGGGCACACATTGGCGGACCAGCTCTAGTGCTCGGGCCAAATAATCGTATCGAGCCCGTAATTGCGCTAAGTGCAGCTTCTTGCATGCAATAAAATAAGATTCCTTTATTGGTTTACGCTTTACGCCCGCATACGTAAAAATAATAAGTTTCTAGGATGATTTGCCGTGGCTTCGATTTATGGCACTGTACACGCGATGTCTCAACGTCGTCTCGTTGTTTTCTTCCTACGCTTCCTCGGCCATCCAAAACTCTCTCTCTCTCTCTCTCTCTCTCTCTCTCTCTCTCCCTCTCTCCCTCTCTGTGTCCCTCATTCCAAACTTTCACTGCGTTGGCTAATGCGTCCATGTATACTTAAAACGAAAGAAAATCTATTGCTCGACGATCAATGGATCGCTTCATTCCGAGTATATAATTTTTATTTTGCCTGCAATTCTCATTGTTTGCTGTAAATTATCTTACATTACATATTATTAGCTATCTAAAAATATCAATCATTATTCCGATGTAAGTGGAACTTGAGAAAATCAGCGCTTGAATATAAACGTTTGAGTATTAACAGTACTGCATTATAATATTGTTGATATATTATACGATTGCTAGACAATTATCTTATTTAACTTGTCATTTTTATTATTCGTTATAAATTACCTTTATTTACTTATGTTCTAGAATATACCGAGGCAATCTCATTGATATGCGAATGTTCATATAATCATAAATAAACGAGCAGCACATTTGAAATAAATATTCATTGTTAAATAATTCTTTATAATTTAAAATAATTATATAAGCCTACGATAAGTCGAATGAATAAGTTTTATTTTTTCATAAAAATTTATCTTATGCAAGCAGATTACGTGTTAATATAATAGAAACATATATGCAAATGCATTTATTCAGTATTAAAAGTTTTTCTATAAATGAATTTAAAGGTCTCGGAAATAATTAAAATAATAATGAATATTTAATAGTTAATAAGAATCTTGGCTCGAAACCAATAAAAGAAAAACAAATTTTTTTTTAAAAAATACAAGAATAAGTCGAAAGTAAAGCAAGAAAAATTAAATTATCGCGGAATTATTTACATTATCGATTTATTTAGAATGAGGAGTAAAAATTTACGGTAGTTTAAATAAAATTTCTCCAAATTAAGAGAATAAGAAAATATGACGAAAAATGAAAAGTAAAAAATAAAAATTGACGAATAAAATATCTACGTCAGCTAGCATGGAGAAGAAGACAAACAAATACTCTTTTACGATTCAAACAGAGATAATTTTAATGTTAATACTGTCAGATCGTAAACAAAAAAAAAAAAAAAAAAAAAAAAAAAAAAAAAAAAAAAAAAAAATAAAACACACACACACACAAACGCAGAGAGAAAAAGAAACGAAGCGACCGTCAAAATAAAAATAAATTTATTGCAGCGCACTTCTTGAAATATTATATTATGCAATATAAATGAAAGCTACATTATTATAATACGAATACACAAGTTACATATAAATTTTCATATTTTATAACGAACTCATTGTACGCACGTACATGCGCACGCACATGCATATGCCCGCGTACGTATTACAGGCATGCGCGCGTTTGCGCGCGTCCATCTACTTAAGCATACATATGCATAAATTTATGTATAATTCATAGATATAAAGTTATGTAATATTGCTGCAAAATAAAGCACGTGCATTAGCGTACAAGGATAGGCACTGAGCTCACTATAAATTTATACGTATAAATTTAACGGGCGCATTTATCGTCCGGCAATTGGGTCTGACTTTTCCATCGAATGCAACATGGAGTACAATGCGGCCCCGTAATACATCGTGAAAGCTTGCGCTAAGCAGCCACGATAAACGTGATATGTAAAATTACACGGGCAGTAGGATAGAAAAGTTTGCCGACATGGAGCACCAACGCATTAACCAAACGCGGCGCATTGCGGAATGAGTTCCGAGGATATTAAAGATATTAAAGAGCCGCGCATTTAATGTAGAAGGCAGAGCGTTCGAACGAGGGGAGAGGAGAGTAGTAAAGCGCAAAGTCGAGGCTGCGTCGCACGTGGTGGGATTGCGCGCAAACGCTCTTGGCCTTCTTATATTTAAATGGCATAGCCAGCGCCGCTCTGACAATTCTGTTCCAATAAATTCCTCCCAATGGGGCCCAGTACGGCCCTACAAGGGCGTCCTGAGGAAATCAATGGCAGAGTATACTTGGGATTAATGGACGGTTGGTGGAGCTAGTAAAAGGAGGAGGAGGAGGAGGTGGTGGTGGTGGAATCGAGTCGCGTGTCCAATGTTACGGACGTGCGAAATGAAACGTCGATGAAACGAGTCGGGGTGTGGGGGCGGGTGTGGAGAAAGGAAACGCGGTATCATGAGCCATCGCGGACGCTCATCTTAGGCGCCTTGGTCTCTCGGTGGGGTGACGGGTGTTGGGGATAGGGTGGGGGCTGAGGCCGCTATCATTCGTTATCGTTTTCGTCGTTAAAGTAGAGAGAGACGATGCCGTGCTTCTTGCAGAAGGCCCACCACCAGCGAAAGCCGGAGAGGCCGGTGAAGGAGAAGCCGGGGTCGCGCTGCCGCCTCAGCTTCTCCACGAAATTGAGGATCGCGTTGAGGGACTTTTTTGTTCGCCGATTATAGGGGCTGACGCTGATGTCGCAGCAGAACTCGAGCACCGCCGTCTCCTCGGCGTTGTCGAGGGCAGCCTCCTCGAGCACCATCATCCTCTTGGACTTACCGAGGATGTTGTCGTAGAGGGTGCCCTTGGGTATACCGTACTTGCTCGAGGCCTGGGTGAAGCGCATCTTCTGCGTGACTACGGCCTCGATGGCCTCCTGGAGCTCTTGCCGCGTCCACGTCGGCGCCTTCAGCTTCAGCAGGCTCGAGTAGTCAGCTAAAAATCAGCACACATCGACTAGGGATTTATACACGTTATCCGGTCTTTTGGTTTGTTTTTTTATTTGTTTGTTTGTTTATTGGTTTTTTTTTTTTGTTTTGTTTGGGGTTTTTTTTTTTTTTTTTTTTTTTTTTTTTTTGTTGTTGTTGTTGTTGTTGTTGTTGTTGTTTTGCAAGTGGGAGGGGGTGTGGGGGCTGTCGGGGCGGGCAGCAGGGGTATACATAATAATGGTAATATCGATTGGCATTGCACAGGGCTACGGGGATCATTGCAACTTAAGTGCTCGTTATGGAAAGTCTCTCAAGTCTTTTTCAAGTGCAGGATTTTTGCGAAACGAGCAACCGCGCTCGATTCCAGACGAGCGCGCGGCATTAACTGGTCCGCACTCCGAGCTGCATCGTTGTTAAGATTTATGGGTATTCGAAACTCACCTGCTATACTGGAGGTGGAGGCTCCGAGCCAAGCGTGGGATGATTCCAACAACTTGGCCTGAAACAGACAGAAACATAAGAATGCGTTAGTGCTTCGATTCAATTCTCCGGCCCGAGAGTCGAGCTTACGCTATTTATCATAATTAAAAACCACTGGTGCTTAGTCGCTCTCTACCTCACTCGCCTCGGTCTCCGCATCCAAAAAAAAAAAAAAAAAAAAAAAAAAAAAAAAAAAAACATAACTCTGAAATAATCATGGCCACGGCCATTAACCCCATTTCGCAATTAAAACTCAGCCCTTTCCTTACTTATCCCCATATTTTTCTCCTTCCTATGGCATCAGCTCCTCCTCCTCCTCCTCCTCCTCCTCCTCCCTTTCCTATCACGGGCGCTTTCTCCACTTCCACACTTAACATTTATTAAAAGCACCGCGTCCCTCGGCACCCTTTGTCCGATGCATCTCATCTCAAATTAATTTGCCATCTCAAATTGTTGCCAAATGTCGTGTCACTAGTCGCTCGTACGATGAGTCAATGCTTTCACCACCACTAGTAGCAGATTCCCGAGAGACGAATACGCTCGAGCGGCTCGTCGACTCACTCAATTGCCAAAATTTTGACGCGATCGTGCGCTCTCTCTCTCTCTCTCTCTCTCTATCTCACCCTCTCTGCGCAACTCTCTGCTCCTCTGCGCATGCGTGCGTGCGTGCGTGCGTGCGTGTACGTGTATGTGACATGTTGGTATTGCTATTAGCGATGTGCACGCAATTTCGTGGATAGCTAATCTGTCACGATGGAACATTCATTCTTGTCTTCGTAATCTATGGATAATCATATAAACGCTGACGAATAATCCGACTTACGTTAACGTTACTGCTGGAGTAGGAGCTCGACTTAGTCCAATCACCAATTCGCATCCCAAAGAATAATCAATCGCAGGGTGAAGGATATTTATCCCTCCCCCCTCCCCCTCAACTCCTGCCCAACCAGACTCTCGCCTTGGGTGGAAATAATCGGCGGCGCCGGATAAATTGTTACAGTTCAAAGCTAGACAAAGACAACTCGACGAGACGCATAAGCGCCTAAGAAGGTGCATTTTGGCAATATAGTTATCGCAACTTTGCCAATATGCTGTGGCTGAGGAGGTTAAGAGAAGCTAAGAGAGACCGAAAGACACACGGCAAGTTGCCTCATTTGGAAAGTTCCTCGTCGTGCGCGGATTTCGCTGAGATCGGCGCGAGATAGGAGCTTCCAGCCTCCCTATTCCCTTAGCCTCGCCTATATCAGACAGACACACCGAGGCACGCGGTCTCGGACTTTTGAAATTAATTTTTAAGAGACTCGGTGTCTCTCTCGCTCGTTGATTTGCCCTCTTACCGCCTACGCGCCTACCGCCTACCCGGTGCAGCGTTCTCCTAAAGCCTTCCGCTTCTGCTTCCGTGCCTCTTTCGCCGAATTAATAGACGCTGCGACCCTCGCAGTTTTTTTTTTCTTCGCGCTCCCCGACTACTATGTAGATCGTACGCAATGAGACTTCGTGGTGTTTGTTCGCTCGAACGCAGCCTCCCGTAGCCTCCCGTAGCCTCGCGTTGGGCCCGCCTCGCGGCCTCAGCATCTCAGCCCTCGGTGGCCGAGAAATCAAGCGAAACTCTTTTTCAAGAGGTCGGGAAGCAATTCGCTGCCTCTCGTAAAATACGTTTTATTCCCCGGGCAAAGATAAAATACAAGCGGCTCCATTTGTATCTCAAATCACGAGTGCAGGTATACCAATACGCGTTTGGGCATTATGTATTATTCAAGGCCTTTCCACGGTCTATGCCTCATGATTTTTATGTATTTATTAGGAGTCGCGCGGAGCCAAATGAAATCGCTTTACAACGACGCTTTTATGGATAATGTCGGAAACAAAAGTTTTATGTCCCAATATTTATACGTAATAATCATAATAATAATAACAACAACAACAACAACAACAACAACAACAACAACAACAACAACAACAACAACAACAACAACAACAACAACAACAACAACAACAACAACAACAACAACAACAACAACAACAACAACAACAACAACAACAACAACAACAACAACAACAACAACAACAACAACAACAACAACAACAACAACAACAACAACAACAACAACAACAACAACAACAACAACAACAACAACAACAACAACAACAACAACAACAACAACAACAACAACAACAACAACAACAACAACAACAACAACAACAACAACAACAACAACAACAACAACAACAACAACAACAACAACAACAACAACAACAACAACAACAACAACAACAACAACAACAACAACAACAACAACAACAACAACAACAACAACAACAACAACAACAACAACAACAACAACAACAACAACAACAACAACAACAACAACAACAACAACAACAACAACAACAACAACAACAACAACAACAACAACAACAACAACAACAACAACAACAACAACAACAACAACAACAACAACAACAACAACAACAACAACAACAACAACAACAACAACAACAACAACAATAATAATAATATCGGAGGATTGGAATCATTCGACCCTTATCGGCTGGATGCTTGGGTTTCCATAATAATGCGCCGTCTGCATGGAGGCGCGGGACCGGTAGGCGTTACAGGCATCCAAATAAAATACAAACAGCCCAAGGATTATTATGCGCAGTCAGTGGGATTCAATTTTTCGACTTTCTTATAAATGCCAAATGGCCTTTGATCGGACACGCTGCTGCCAGGGTTATGAAATTGGTATGGGTATGGGTACAGGGTGCAGGCGATGGTTGCTATATTAGGGGCGAGGGAGGGGGAGAGAATGAAATTGCAATAAAAAAAGGAGTCATCGTAGGTGCCGCTTTATCAATGATTCAGTATGGTAGGATCACGGAGGACTATTTGAAGATAGTTAACAGTGGGCAATGTCGTTGGTTCGCTTCTCTAGTTGTCTCTCGCCCTCTATTCCATCTCATTCCATCCCATTTCATTCTATCTCATCCCATGCCATCCCATCCCATCCCATCCCATCCCAGCCCATCCCGTCCCGTCCCGTCCCGTCTCGTTCCGTCTCGTTCCATCTCTCTACCCCCGGCTCTATCGCAAGCTCTAGCTCTGTACTCCCATCTCTACATATGTAGGCGCGGCCGCGCGTCCTGTACATGTCTATATGGTAATATTTAATTCACTAGACTTCAGCCTCGGTCTTCTTCGACTGACTCTCTCGCGTTGGGTGCACGAAGAGCGTTGAAGAGAGACGCATTGAGATGAGAGGTAGAGTAGAGAGTAGAGAGAGAGAGAGAGAGAGAGAGAGAGAGACACGGAGACGGAGACGACGAGCAAATCAGCGAGCTCGAGGGTAAACAAGAGGAGGGAAGGGAGGGCAAAAGCTTCATATCCATTAGCAACATGCATCATATACAGCTAGAGGTCCAGCGCAATCGCACTTTCCACCAGTTTCCCAGCCTCTAATTGTTTCCTACTGTTTACCCGTCATATTTCATAGTATTGACTGGTCTAGTAATAAGGGAATGTGAGACGAATGCGAACGGGGATATATCGAAATAATGATTGGGAAAAGGCTTGCAGTGGGCTTACACTTTGTCCCACCTCATTCGTTCCTCACTCTCCTTCCTCTTTCTCCACTCCCTTTGCCACAGCCACCTCGCCACTCCCGTCCCCCGTTGCCTTCTCGTCGCCGTCACATCGCGAGCTCCCGCACATCCGCACCCCTGTACACGCACTCGTTCCCTCGCTTGCTCTTCTCTCTCTCTCTTCTCTCTCTCTCTCTCTCTCTCTCTCTACTCTCTCATATATATATATATATATATATAATTATAAACAAAATTCTGTTACATGTATATATACTAAGCTGACTGGTAACAGAACACAACTATAATACACACATACAAACAGATGTATATATATATACATATACGTATATCTTTCACGCTCGTTCACGTGCTCCATGACTCAATGTTCTTCCCGCCTTTTCAACTCTTTTTTCCTTTTCACTCCATTGACACCAACAATTTGCCGTTATTTACGCAATATTATTAAATAAGGCAGCAATATTCTCATTAGCCAAGTTCAGTAACAAGATGCGTTTTATATTAAAAAGGCCAAACTCCAACTACAAAGTTTCTCTTAATGTTTTTAGCCAAGCGCGGGAGCACAAAACTCTTTCGATTAAAAGCATTTATTAAGGGAAAGTTTTTTAAAGAAAATTCACCATAAAGGGCGTCTCGCGACATTTTTATGTATGCACTTGTCAAGCCATCATTCAGTCGCGCGGTCGCGAGAAATCATTCTGCGACACCCCTACCATGGTCCCAACTTGGTCGCCCACCCCGCGACACCGTGCATCTATCCTTCTCTCGCCCCTCGTCGTATCGACGACTACGTGCTCCTGAATTTTTCATAGCCCCACTTGTACGCCTCGTGACGTTCCCTGTTATAAACTATCGTCGCGTAGCTTCGCCACTGTCATTGTCGCGATGCATCTCTAATGCCTGGGGGACATTCTCAACAAATGTTATCCGCTCTCGTTTTATTTCAAACCATTGTGATTCTGCCGCAAAATAATATCACATGAATATTTATTAGCTCGTGTATGCTATAAGAAATGACACTGTTGTACACTCGTTAAGATCAACCGCTCGCCTATCTTTTTCACCAGCTACGCCTTCCTTGCTAACCATGTCTAACGTTACCTTAATTATCATTGCATCCCGGTGCATCACCCTCAAAGCACCAGCTCAAGTCCGATTAATAGGTGCTCCATGAATATTGCAATATTGGCGATGAAATTTCGGAATAGACGTTAACAAAGTCGGATCTTCAACGATTCATAAAACAATGCTCGAATTAAAAATGACGAGTGCGCACTTTCTCCGATAATCTAGACGTTTCTCGTAAAATCTCTTTAAACGCGGCCATATTTCATAATGTTCCCCCAACACTTCAGTCCTACGACGTTTAGCGCTTGTCCCAACTGCAGTTGTCTGCAGAAATCACAAAAGCCGCATGTC